CTGGGTCTTCCAGCATGATAACGACCCAAAACAAACAGCCAGGGCAACTAAAGAGTGGCTCCGTAGGAAACATCTTAAGGTCCTGGAGTGGCCTAGCCAGTCTCCAGACCTGAATCCAATAGAAAATCTTTGGAGGGAGCTTAAAGTCCGTGTGGCCCAGCGACAGCCCCGAAACCTGAAGGCTCTGGAGGAGATCTGTATGGAGGAGTGGGCCAAAATCCCTGCTGCAGTGTGTGCAAACCTGGTCAACAACTACAGGAAACGTCTGATCTCTGTGATAGCAAACAAAGGTTTCTTTACCAAATATTAAGTTTCATTTTTCTGGTGTATCAAATACTTATTTCACACAATAAAATGGAAATTAATTATTTAAAAATCATACATTGTATTTTTCTGGATTTTTGTTTTAGATTCCATCACTCACAGTTGAAGAGTACCTATGATAAAAATTACAGTCTTCTACAAGCTTTGCAAGTGGGAAAACCTGAAAAATCAACAGTGTATCAAATACTTGTTCTCCCCACTGTATATATAAGAACTTCAACAGCATAATGTTTTATATGGTGCTACAGGTTCCAGCTGTCCAACCAGACAGGTGTTATTTTGTGATGATGGTCACAAAACATGGTGTAACACCGGAAAAGAACAAACCAATGAAACGAGGAAGAAACCAACAAATTTAGAGAAACCACATCAGAAATTTAAGCAGTTAAATCGCTAACACAGCTACCAGACGACAACAGCTCGTGACAATACTCATTTGTTAACTTTGTGGAAAGTTTCAGCTCATGCAGGGGTGTCATGTTGCAGCAAGAACCGCCTTGCAACCCTTGGACCAAACTGTTTACCTGAGTGATGATGGCTCCGGGTGTCTCATTTATCGTAGTGCTGGAGCTCCAGACAATGTAGACTACTGGGGGGGAATAATATTTTGGTTCATAAATTTACGATAAATTGTTTTAATGGAATCAGAGCTCTAGTTGTGAGTTGGGTTGACAGGTGTTGGTTGGAATATATCAGAAATATAATTACTTTATTATTATCTAAGACAAAAATAGTCCACAACACAAAAAAAACACGTTAAGAAAAAGAAAACAATAAAAAACATTCATCAAAAAGCACACAAATAGCTATTCCAATGTTTTAAAAAACTTGATACTTTCGTCTTCTTTACATTATGCATGACATATGTTCATTTATATAACACTTTGGGCGCTTATGGACAGCGAAACAGCATGCTGCACATGCAAAATGCTGATAATGCGCTTCTTCCACAAATAAACAGTACGTCCCACTTTACAAGATGGCTGCCAAAAATCTCGCGTAGCGCCGTCAGTGTCCGTTCACAGCGCTTCGTGCTTCAGTGGACCCCACACAAGAAACGCACAGATGAATTGATAAGACAGACCCTCTAGTTCGGAGTGAGAGCCCACTGTCTGACTTCATTCAGAAATGTTATTTTCGTTAAAGTTAAAAAGAAAGTTTGATCAAACTGCAAGGATCCCTGTTAGCTGAGTGTAGGAATACCTCTGGTCGACCCAAAGAAAACTAAGTTACTTTGATTTGTTCTAACGTCATAAGTCATTTATTTGTAAAATGCTTAAATGATGTAGCCTACCTCTGAAAAGCCCTCTTCAGTCGCTCTGCGTGTCTTAGCTACAACAAACAGGAAGACCGAGGATCATATGATAGGCTGACAAGACAAGGCAAAGGAGGAACACGTACACCCGCCCAGCAAGATAAAAAAAATAAAAAATAAAAAAAACACCCGCCCAGCAAGATTTATTTTTTCTGCATGTCAGCGTTTGACATTTCTGTAGACTTGAGAATTGTTTCTCTAATGCATTTTTCATATTTGAGACAGACACTTCCGCTTTTTAATCGAAACCAAAACATATTTAAAGTACGGAAATCCCGCGAGGGGACACGGGGGATTATTTATTCCTTTTGCGTTCCCACGCAATATTGTTTTGTATATGAACTGAATTAAATCAGACTTTTATTTTGAAATATCCGGTTACCAAAACAGGATGTGTCGCCACAAGTTCGTGAAATTGATGTTGCGTGGCTGTACTGTGTTAAAATATCGGCACATGACATACTTCCGTGTGTGGCTGTGTGATATATTCATTCTGAAGCTGAATTAAAGCAGTAGGCTAACTCGCTAATGGTGAACATGTGAGTTTGCTAATAAACCGGCAGGCACAACAGTGACAAACTACTTTTGCGAGGGAACGCAAAAGAAAAAAAAATCTCCCATGTCCCCTCCAACATGGAGCACATGGAGCACATGTATTAAATGTAGCAGACATACAAAACATGACGAATAACTCAGTTTAAGGATCCTCACTTTTAAAACTAAAAACAAAGCTGCAGTGCATGATCACAAATTTTCTTCTCAGTAATAATAAATCTGTTATTTTAATCCCAGGACTGGCTAATCACAAAGACCAGATGCCATTACGTTATCACATTATTGCTCGCCTTGCCTTTTCACATTGACTGTTTGGACCCAACCTTGCTTTGTGGCACAAAAATGCATCAGGGGTTGGCTTTGACTCCCTTTGTCATCTTGGTCCATTAAAAAAAAATCACACCAAGTCAGCAAGAAGGCGTCCAAGTCCCAGATTAAGGTATCTTGTGAAAGAGACTATTGATTTAACATCCTCTGTGGGTAGAAGTTATTTTTTCATGTTGTCTTTGCTTTGCCACTTGTGTACTTTCTGTCAGATGGCAGGAGCAGTATGTGCTGTAGGTGTGGTCCTTGATGTCGTTGAAAGTTTTGTTCAGGAAATCAGTGCAAGACATACAGTATATCTGTAAATCTCTGATCTTGAACTCAGCGTTAAAAGACATTAACTTCACTGTTGGCTGTGTGTGACATACTACCTCTCATTTGAAAATGCTTCTTCAAGTTTGACAGTTTTAGGCTTCTCAGTTTAACTTTTAGAGTCAACCAAAAATGGTCATCACAACCAGTGGTGGGATGTAACTAAGTACAAGTACTTTCTTGCTGTACTTAARTACATTTTTCATATATCTTTACTTTACTTAAGTAGATTTCATTGTGGGTACTTTTGACTTTTACTCCACTACATTTTACATTAAGTATCTGTACTTTCTACTCCACTACATTTTACATTAAGTATCTGTACTATATACTCCACTACATTTCTGTAATGCGTTGAATTACAAAGTACATTCATGTCATGTCGATTTATTTTTATTTTATTTTATTTGTGGTTTATTTGATTCATTTTTTGTTAGAAAATAATCAGTGGCGAGAGGGGGAATTGCTGTAATTGGTCCATTGAACAAAGCAGGAAAGTACCATTACACCCTCCTTCATAAAGAAGCAGAGCATCAGCATGTCCACAATGGTTTCCACCACGGAGGAAATGTGCCATTCATGGCCTTATTTAACTGGTTCAAAAAATGACTTGTTGAGATTTGATAGAGGAGGTTGGTGGTGAATTTACATCTTCTGCAGCTGTTGTCACAATATGTGATGATGCACAGAATCACAAGTCCAAGTGTGAACAGTGTCACGGAGTGTAAACACAAAACTATGCATTATCTGCAGCATTGATGTATTAAAATATACATATAGCAGGCACACTTCATGATATTGTAGACCATTAGGGAATATATTAAGCAAGTACTTTTACTTTTAATACTTTAAGTATTTGTAAAAGCAAGTACTTACTTACTTTTACTCAAGTAAAACGTTAATGTGGTACTTTTACTTTTACTAGAGTACATTCTTGTCTGTTTATCTGTACTTTTACTTAAGTACTGTGTTTGAGTACTTTCTCCACCACTGATTTGTCATCAAATCATTACTGGTCTCAGGAAAACTTAGCTTAAGAGTTAAAAATCTTGACCAGMCTTGACAACAATAACATTCACAAGAAGCTAGCTGTGAACTATGCAACACAATTAGTTTTTTTTTAAATAAAAGCTGCATTCTCARCATGTCTAACTAGCCCAGATCATTGCCACGTTAATAACCTTTGTGACAAACCAAACTGTTTGTAAACCCATCAAGATTTCAGCAAGTAACAGTAGTAACTCTTATGTACGCTCTGCTCGTGGCATAATGGAAAAATGCTTTCTAAGCAACCGACTCAATTGCCCTTCAACTTCTGAAAACAAGACGACCACAAATTCAGGTTCAGGTTCAATTCAGAACGTCGACATAAAACCATCCGATTCTCTCCAACTGCATGAACAACTGGAACAAACATCAGACACAAACGTACAGGTAGAAGAGTCATCAAAGAATCTCACAGAGAAACCTGACTCAGATTATGATTCTACTGATGACACACCTCAGACACATATATTCCCTGTAGTGGCCATTGTTAATAAGAATGGTTCACAAAATTCAARWTCAAGTGAAATTTTGTTTCATGGATCTGACGTTGAGGAGAACACAGTGACACCCACAGACATTCAGTGTCAACCGGTGGGAAAACGTTTCAGGAGAGTAAGAAAGTTATTTGCCAGAATTTTCGATTTCCATCACCTTCTGAGTTGACAATAATTAACTTAACATGTTCCACTTACCCACAACCCCGCAACCACCCCACCCCTCAAATACCCCCATCCCGCTCTCCCCTTCCCTGCTCAGACCTTCCACCTCTCCTAAACCACCTATCTCCTTCCCTTGTTCACCCCTCCCACCCATCCCATCTTTGGGTTTTCTCCAGGTACTCCGGTTTGCCCACCTAAAAAAAGAGAGATCTATGATCTCTGTCTCCTCAATCCTTCCAGGTCTCCCCTTCCTTCTCTCTCTCCCACCCCTTCCATCTTTGCCCAGGCCCCCCCCCAACAAAAAAAGAGATTGTTGGTTAAACATTGAACCCCAGTTTCTATGAGTGTAAGCGCAGCCTTCTAAGGCTATTGCTGATGGGTTTCGTGCGCATTCTGAAGAACCAATAGTCTACACCAATCTACCGTGGGCCTCACCTATGGTCCCATAAATATTGGTGGGACCATAAATCTCCTCCCTATAGCTTTTGTATTCAGTGGGCGAGCCTCAACAGGTCAGGTTCCTCTGACAGAAACCTAAAAAAAATTACATTTATAATATTATTTTACACTCTGCAGGTCTAAATATTAATCAGAGGACAAAGTAATATTTAATAGTTTGTGTTAAATTGTAACATGATTCAACAGTGCTAAACTCTGTATATATGCTCCACAAGCTAATATCTGCTAACCAGTTCAATAAATAACAGTGATTACATGGATTTTATAAGATTATTTTAATTTTAAACTGTTACATTATGTTCTGCTCAGATCACATTGAGCTAAATAAGATCAAATCTGCTGACTTGTGTTGTAAAATGAGACGTTTTCCTGTTTATCTTCTGTTAATAAATCTATAACAAACAGCTTTTCTGGCATTATTAAAAACATGAGATAAATTGTATAAACTGTAAAATATTAATAATAACAGTGTTAATATTATTTTAATAGTTTTTTTATGATTTCTCCATTGT